AGATATAATATTATACTGATAGAATACATGCAAATGAGAAAGAAGTGTATAAACTTAGATTAAAGTTTAAAACAATATAAAAAAAATTAAACACCATGCATAGTTATAATAAATAACGTTATTTTTCCTACAACAGAAAAAGTTTTATAAGATCTGACAAGCTGAACTACACATATAAAACTACAGACCAAGAGGTAATATCATATCAGACTAAATGTAACCCAGACAAGTTCAACGGACCTTACATTGCAGTGCAGGGTTGATATTTATTGCAACTAGAAGAAACACTTCAAGTATAATCCTTCTTTATCATTTAAATTTACTTGGCTACAACGAGATTAAATTAGCCCATGCTTGCATCAGACTAAATGTAACCCAGACAAGTTCAACGGACCTTACATTGCAGTGCAGGGTTGATATTTATTGCAACTAGAAGAAACACTTCAAGTATAATCCTTCTTTATCATTAAAATTTACTTGGCTACAACGAGATTAAATTAGCCCATGCTTGCGTTTAATATGTAGAGATATAATTAATTTGTATTTTTACTGATAAACTACTAGTTAGGTACTTTAGAATTTAAAAAATAATAAGTGCAATATTTTTTGTTATTTAAGTTAGGTACCCTTTTCTTTATATTATGAACCTTTCTTAATATAAAATTTGGACATGATAAAAGTCTTTGAATCTCAAGAAGTCAGATACCTACCTATTTATTTTTGTTTACGTATTTATTAAAAAAATTATTAGAAAAACAGTTATCTATGTCAGTCCTTATGTGGCAGTCTGCAGAAATGTATTTTAAATGTTGCCCTACCATTCACTGTGCTTTTTAGTACAGCATAAAACGCTGTATTAAACGTCAAAATAATCACCTACGTTAAAATGACCATTAGAGACTTATTTCAGATTTTTAATTTTATCAATAAAGATATCTAAAGCACCGCTTATCTGTTTCTAGCCTGGTAGAAAGTACTTAACAATTAACCCGCCTTCAGTTTTACAGTATCTAATTTTTATATTCTCTATGGATTTTTCATTTCCGCGCATACCGAATAGTTTTGTTTACGATTTTTCAATGCAGTTGCTCATAAAGGGCTATTTTTTTAATCCATTTTAAACACCGAAAGTGAGACTTTAAATATGTCAAACTTTAGAGGCAAAAGTATTTCAAGGAGCCTAGAACGAATATTTTCAAATAAAAATGTATGACACGAAAACATGTTCAAATATCACGTTTAATTTTAACAAATAATTTTTACCTTTAATACATACTTAGTTTTATTAACCTATATATTTGTTTTATTTCCTCGCAAAAAGCATTGAAAAATGTTGTTAGAAACTTGAGCGTAAAGGTTTTTCGAATTTGTGCCAATGAAAGCCCTTATTCGTAAAACCTTACTTTCCGCACTCGTATCTTAAATAACTATTATCATTCACGTTTTCGTTTCCAATAGTTCCAAGAATCGCATTGGTCTACTCGGATTGCTATTTTTCCAGCTATAAAATTCTAGAATCCTGTTTTTTGCAGTAAATTTTTTATTTTATATTATTTTGCAGCAATACACAAAAAACTAGTAAATTCTAGTAATAAAGTAGTGATTTAATAAAGAATCACAATTACTGTCACTACAAAACAATAAGGAAGAGATGAGTTCGTATCTTATAAAGCTAAAACATGTTTAGTCAGCATGATTACTTCAAATTAACTTTTGTTCTTTATTGGAGTTTAAATTAGAAATTTTTTCATTACTTTATCACTGCGGATAAAACCACACTTTTTAAATGTTTATATTTTTATAGAAGGCGTTGAATTATTAACATTTTAATGTTTCTTTTACCAAACGAATAAATAAAAGTATAAAACTACTTGTCATTAAATGATGGTTCAATTTAGGTACATACGTTATCCTTACCATATGCGTTAATGTATCTTACCAGGCTTATTCTTAAAACATAGATTCATTGACAGTGTCAAATAGAAAAACAAACATTTCCTTTTTCTGTTGGAAAACTGTTTGCTTATTATTTGGGTTGCATTATGTTTACCGGATGCAAAATACATAAATCTACTACATTTACGCTTCTTTACAAAATTTCAAACTTATTCCAATTTTTTTGGTACGTTGTTACATTACGTTTGTTTAAATTATACATTACACGTTTGACGTTAATATCTATAGATGTCGTTGAACCGTAACGTAAAGGTCAAGGTCATGACACCCATAAGAGTAGCTGTGCTCACACAGCAATTTCACTTAAACCGAACCAATTAATCGGTTTAAATTGTCCTCTGTAATAAAGATTACGAAAATGTGATTAACTGTATACTAAATTATACCGATTAATAAATAGACCAACCTTTGACACCAATGTCTGCTTAACTCCAATAATGCGATGTATAACACATAACAGACACTTCACCACCTCTGCTTAATACGCGTTGAACGTACGCGGCGTTAAATCGTATGAAAGCGAAAGTACGTAGTGATGTTATGTGTTGTGGCGTGGATGAGCCGGCACTCCGGTAGCCAACGACTGGCATTAAGGACGCGGGAAGGTCGCCAATGAGCGCGCATGCGTCGTTAGCCCTCGCGTCGGTCGCCGTGTGGGCATCTGGTACTGCCAACATCCCGTCCTCTGGCAAAGTTTCGACCACTTTGGAACAAATACAACACATAATACATTAAATTTATTTATCGTATAAAGCATTCTCTTTGTGAATTAGAAAACGGAGTTCTGTAGTGATATCAGAGTGAAACATCTTTGTTACAAACTAACACCTAAAATTATACGTACCAAATACATAACTTCATTAGTATTTTTTCATTAATTAAAACAAATTACTTTCTTATAACAAAACTCTGCAGGAACTCAGGCCGTTCTTATGGATGGTTAGGGATGGGCCAACCTGGCACAATGCAGATTAATCGCTACCCTAATAGAGCAAGCTATTTAAGACAAATAGAGAAATTAAGCGATTAAGTGCTTATATTATCCTTATATCAAAATCCCACTTAATATGATTGTGTTATTTTTTATTGTATCAAGACAGATCAAGCTATTATTACTACCTACCGCAAAGTCTAAACAAGTCGTAATACCAGATATATAACCTATGAAAACAATAAGAATAATCTAATATATTCGACAACAAATTTTTCGATTAATCATAATGATCAGCCAGGCCAATCCTGAAAGTAATATTCTGCTATAAAAACAGCCTCGAACTCTACGTCGAGCGCAGACTGTCATAGGTAGTATAGAAGTTCAATAAAGTAAACCTTTTTTTTATAACGCAGGGGATATGCACTTTAAGCCTTAAACCACGGCTCTACGCACCCGTCCTGAAAAGGACAGGCTTAAACGAGACCGGCCTACTTGTTAACCAGCTGCGGAGTACCCTCTTGGGGTGGAGTACCCGGATTTCGGCAAGGGTCACGCCACATTCTACCCCACAGCAATTAAGTAAACCTACTTCAAAACGTAATAAAGGTTTTCTTTGCTTGTAGCTCTATGTTGTGCCCGTACTTTGTTCGAGTCTGTTCTTAACTAATTGTAAATAGCATAGCTGATCGGTCGGCTGATTTTTAGTGAAATTTATCAGTCCGTCAGTTAGTTTTTTCAGCGTGAAACGTTATATCAAATACTAAAGCAAATACTCAATCCAATAATATCAAAATTTTCAAATTTCATGCACTTTCCATGAAACCTTTAGGCCAATTTTAGAATACAAGTATGACGGTTATAACGACATCTAGCGTGTAGTACGAAAAATATTTTTCTCTTTTATTTTCTATTTCCTCACAAGATGGCGCTCCTTTCTTTAGTTATTTTTACACTTTCATTTTTGATGCATGGAAAATGACATCTAGTGTCTAATAAGCAAACTATTTTACTTTTATTTCAGACTATCTGTTTTCCCAAGACTTCGCCTGTGTAAATAATAGTTTCTCACAGGTGTAAATATTTTTAAAAGCAATGATATGCAGGAAATGCAGAGCCTATTCAATATAAACAAAGAATCAAATAACTTTAGTATATTTTTTCTCATACAAAAATGAAAGCAACATTTTCCTAAACCAAAAAAGTTTTGCAGGTCCCACGTAGTTTTATCTATCGTCTGTGGGGTCCCGATATCGAATCGCTAGTATCGAACAAACAATAAAATATAATCGAAGATTGTTAAACATTCACGATTACCTCTCTTCTCTGTACATGGAGAGTCAAACTGTAATATCTACTAAATTTATATAGTTGAATGCGTGCAACTTAGCGTGACACGCTATTTACTCCTTTTATGCATACAAATACAATACCTACCTGTCCATACCTCTCTGACACAATGAACATGCGTGCCGTTGGGCGCTGTCGACCGCCTTCTTAATTTACCATATTATTTCCGGTCGCACCTTATGTAAATTGTTTCATTTCATAAACGCGTATCAAAAGCACGACTATCAATCAATTTAACTTCAATCCAATCTCCACTTTTAATAATTATACTTTTGGTCTGAATAAAAACAACAATCGACTTTTAAGTACTAATATGATGATTATGTAATCCGATCTATATCATAGGACTTGGTTACACATCGTAACCGCCATTGCAATACCATCCTTAATCACCACTTTATTACATGCATATTTACTAAACATGTCTAATGAAAGTCTAACAATACATTTAATGGTATAAAGTCCGGTCGTTTTGTTTGCTGATTATTTAGAATAGTATCAGCATCAGATATAATGACCATGTCCTTTGCTATCTTTAATAGCCCACTAATGAAAACCAACACTAAGGCATAGTCAACAGCATGTAAAACTGCAACATTATTTGATGTAAAACCTTAATTTTTGGAGGGTAGAATTCAAAATCATATGTGGGAATTTGTCATGTGATAGCTTGACGCATGTACAGTCCAAATGTGTACAATTAAAATAATATTTCGAATTTTATCATAATTAAAATTCGATAAACAAACCTTTAAAATTATTTAAACATTAGGAAATTTAAATTAAAAGAAAATTATAATAAACAAGCTCGTTTTGACATTTTATTCATGTAAATTTGCAGATATAATTAATACAAATGGTCATGTAAATTGGGATCTATGATAAATAATATAATTATTAGCTGGTAAAAAGGACGCAGGCATACTGCCTTTGGTAGTCTGTCGCCTCCAGCCATTGTTCATTTAAATGACTCATTGAATTATAAAAAGGCAGTCTCGGAGGTGTGGCTTTACAAATACTGTCTTATTCCTAAAGTTTACAATATGAGATTTTTCCTGTGTAGTGAAACACGAACTTAGACTATGTGAACAACAAACTTCTTGAATGGCTACAGAATGCATGCATGACTTTACAATACGTTCCTCACTTTCTAGGTGGTAGTGCTGAGCTATTTGAACTAATAAATTCCTAAGAGATTAATGTGACAAGACCTATATTGTCTACTTGTCATACATCACAATTTTCCTAAAGCTATCTGTACATTTTGGATAATTTAAGATGTCTATAATAATGCCAATGTTACATGTTTAGTTGATCAATATGTCGCTACAAACTTTAAGTAGCGTGTATTATATACTTCGCTACTGTTACTCAATACAAGGTACACACATTGTATAACACAGCATTGCCTCAAATTATGCACACAATTTTACTCCATGAATAAAAGATTGTTATGAAGATAATCTAGTTACAAAATTAAATTATACTCAAACAAATCCATAAATAAACTTTGATTTAAACAAAATGTTGGAATAGCTACTTTGTATGTTAACACTATTGATTTCATGAATGTATAATCATTCACTACAAAAAGAGAGCAAAATGATTATTCTTCAGACTCCTGCTTTTCTGGAATGGATGTCTTCAACCATGGATGCTGAAGGCACTCATATGCAGTAGCGCGCCTGTTTGGATCAAAATCCAACATAGGTTTCAAAAAGTCAGCAAATTCCTCAGCATCTTTTTGACTCCATTCATATTTTTCAGTTAATACAGAAACTAGCCCCCAAGGCTTCAGACCTGTGATGTTCCTCAATTCACCCTTTTTGTTAAAAAACATTTTTGAATATTTTCCTGAAGCAGCAATTCTCTTGGGAATGTCACCAAGTAATTCAATAATATGAGCTAAATGATCTTCATCCCGGGTATAGCCATCACCAGAATGAGGTTCAAATAAGTAATCTCCAGTAGCCAATTCAAATGCCATACATGCAGTACTCCATATATCAGCAGAAGTGCCATAACCGGCACTCAGTAACACTTCTAAGGAACGGTATTGTCTCGTTTGAATATCTTCAGTAAAATGTCTATGAACCCAACAAGCATTACCCAAATCTGCAATCTTCACCTCTAAATCACATACATCAAAGGCAGGATCAGGTTGCTTATCAGCATTCTTTTCTTTTAAGGATTGCGAATTAAGAGATGGGGGTGTGTCTGTCATCTCGCCTTCTGACATAGGTGTACTTGCATCATCGCCACAGCCATATTGTTTATTTCGTACCTGAACAGCTTCTGCGTCCGTGTCAAATGCCTCATCATCTGTTCTTCTTATGTCAGTGCAGCCATTCAAAGTATCATTTTCTGAACGAGTAGTCTCAATGACACTGGCTTCCTCTGGAGTCTGTGGTGAATCATCATTATCTTGGGACATAGGAGCTGACTCATTAACCTCAACTTTCTTTTGCTCTTCAATTTCTTCTATTTGCTCCATTTGTTTCTTAAGCAACATAGACTGACGTTTAGCTTTTTTCTTTAATTTTTTCTTTTTATTTCTACTCATTTTACCAGTTACTACTTGCTCTTGAAATTCTTTAGGAGCTGTACTAATAAGCGAGTGTGGTAGTCTCAAACCTAATGAATGTAGCTCCGTAGCTTCAGCTGCCAATCTACGAATGTAAGTTTCATCCACACAAACCAAAACATTTTCAGGTTTTATATCAGTATGGATAATCTTGCATTTAGTATGGAGATAATCCAAACCCTCTAAAACTTGACGGATGATAGTTTTAACATTTTCGCGTGGGATGCCCCTGTAGTTGGATTTCAGTATCAGCTTAAGTAGATGATGTCCCAATACTTCAAACACCATGCACACATGCGTCCCATTTACACCAGTAATTTTAAAATCATTAAGAAGCTGTACAGTCTTATTCCTTTTAGGGTCAGAAGGATCGCTATCCCGCACCGCTTTCAGTATTTTAATCTCATCTAATGCCGTCTCTGTGAAGTGGGGAGCCGATTTGACCACTTTTAACGCCACAAATCGTTTGTCTTCGAGATCCCAACACAACCATACTGTTGAAAAATGGCCCCAACCCAATTTTCTAGTGACGTGGTACCGATTCAGGAACAAGTCCCCGATTTTGACAGGATGATATCCACCCTTACAGTAATCAGCACTGTCTTCTTGTTCTTCATCGTCACTCGCGTATTGTTCGAATACAGAAGCATCCTCTTCAATCGTTTCATTGGAAGAACTATGTGTTGGTTCCAAACGGGTTTGGTTTTGGTTGCGCAGCCCGTTTCCTTGTCCACCACCGCCGTGATCCTCCTCACGGTTTTTCTTCTTGCCCAATTTATGACGTTTTTTCTTCGCCTGGATGGCGAGTACTCTTCTATTTACATCTGATTTAGAACTCATTTAGCAAATTAAAACACTTTCAACAACACCCAATAAATAAAAATTTATCTTTTCATCTCAATCTTTTTGTTTGAGTATGGCGGCCGGTCGCAGAACAAAATGCGCTCGAACTCAATAGGCGAAAATGTTGCTATTTAAGAAAACATTTAGCTAATAAAATATCCATAGAGATTTTTTAAAAACTTTTATCGGCAAATGTTTCAATGGTTTCAAACTATCTTCAAATTATATCTATGTTCAAACTTATTTATTTAAAAATATTTAATGAGGAAGTATTTAAAAAAATAAGGAAACTACAAAAGTTTATGTCACTAGATGGCAGCACAAATCGTTGGATCTAAACGTCAATTCATGACGTTAAACCAAAAGGGATAGAATTTTTAGTGTTGTTATGGCTCTGATAACTCGGATTAATATCGAGTTGAAAAATTAATTCGAGATATCTTCAAAATAAATTTCTTTTTTATTCGTATAGAGGAAAATGGAAACTATCATAATGGAACTGAGCACTGAGGTTTCTTTTTAATTTATGGAAATCAATTGAATTAATGATGTGATATAATTAAAAGTGGCATTAAGCTACGGTATACAATAATATTACCGCCAAAAAGTTTTTGTAAATAAAATACTTATGCCATAGTAGGTTTGGGAAGTTTTCATTGTAATATTTAACAAAAATTCTGAAAACAATAACAACTAGTTAAGTTAGTTTTATTGCTATTCGTTGTTTGTTGAACTTACAATAACGAAACTACATCAAGTCTCAATAATATTTTTATATGTATGGTGAATGAATGAATAGGGTTTATTTACTTTTCTGGAATTCTACGCTCCACTTTTTGTTCTTAATTCCAAACCTGAATTCGGATGAATCGAGTCAATTGAAGTTACGATCAACCAATAAGTTGGTTCACCACTAATGTTGATATATAAACCAAACATAGTTCCTTTACCCGTTACATAATTATTAAAATTTAAATTACGATTCAAATGAATTAATATTAATTTGAAAGTTACATAATATAAGAAACACGAAACGATGTCATATTTATTAATATACTTTTATTACGTAAAAAACAAAATTTGAATGAATATCCTAGACAATATCCAAACATCGCTAGTGACATCTAGTATGATTTCAAAAATATATTTTTATTTATTAAATACTTCCTCATTTGGCCATGCTGGCGCGTGGCTTAGGTCAGAAACTAAACTCAGTTATTTTATTGAAAATACTTTGATTATTAATTATAGACATTGTAAAATCACATTTACAATCCGTAAATGTGATATTTCAGCAGATACGTTTTTATTCCAATGGTTATCATTGCAGTTTTAATACACACTATGACATCGTAATATGTCATAATACACACTGTGACATCGAAAATTGGCGCACTTTGAAGTGAGGCCTTATGTCTTAGGCCATATTTATGACTCTTGCCGGACATCTTATTGTATTATTGATCGAAGATAGACTTTTTTTGTTTGGGCAAAAGATAGACTTGTAAAATATTCTTTGTTTTTTTTTTGTAAATAAAATACTTATGCCATAGTAGGTTTGGGAAGTTTTTATTGTAATATTTAACAAAAATTCTGAAAACAATAACAACTAGTTAAGTTAGTTTTATTGCTATTCGTTGTTTGTTGAACTTACAATAACGAAACTACATCAAGTCTCAATAATATTTTTATATGTATGGTGAATGAATGAATAGGGTTTATTAATTAGCAACAAAAGTCATAAAAATTATAATTATAATAAAAAATCCGTTTTTTATCTATATACTTACCCGATATGTATCAAATATACAAGGTATTCGTACAAAATAATATGACTTCTGGCTAAAATGACGTTTGTGCAAAGTGTTACGTGCAAATAAATTGTGCTTTCGAAATGAAGACTTTAAAAAACTATGATCAGTTATTAAATCTTATATTCATAATTAAATCATCTTAATAAACATTCAGGAATCAACAAGAAACGTCTGTTCTTAACGAACAGCAGGGTTTAAATTTCAAAATCACAAAGACACGTAGAGTTATTATATTATTGCTACTGATATATTATTATTTTTGTTATTATTATCTTGCATGTCGACGGCAAAAGTCGAGCCACGTGTTAAGTTAATTCGTACAGTGGGTATGTGCTTTTTGGTTCTTAAAATAATATTGTTAATAATAAATTGACTTCCTACACAACCTACTCTAGAAATCAGTTTTATTGAAATATATTATTTACTAAGTACCTAGGGTAGTCATGCTATCTTAAAATCTCTGCGGTGGTGTCGTGTGCGTTAGGTCGATACGTTCCCTCAAATATAGTATAGTTGAGTTGTATAGTTGAAATTAAAAAAGCAGCCCTTGCTGAGTTTCTTGCCGATTCTTGTCAGTACAAGATCTTCCGCCTTAGTTTTTCGAAGCATTGGCAAAGTTTTCGACTTTCACGTGTACTATGTAACAGACTAGACTGAATGGATTTTGATATTTATATTAATATTATTCGTTTTTTGGATGCATAATGACACATACAAATACAAGCTGAATTCTGCACTCTACTTTTTTCCTTAAATTAATTTCGTTCTTCATTCCAAACCTGAATTTGGATAGTTACGAGCAACCAATAAGTTGACTCATCACCAGTGGTCGGAATTAGGTAGAGTTATTCATGTACTAACACTGATTTCATACAGCGAAAGAATAAAGTGGATATGCCTCAAATCCCGAGATTAATTTTAAAGAGCGGAAAAAATCCCGTGATTTTTTAAATAAAAGGTTATTTACTTTTACACAATTTAAACTACTGCACGCACGACGTTGCCAAACTTACATCAATGACATCGGATGTCCAAAGTTGCAAAATACCAATACACGCGATTTTGCCACATTTGTAGGGAAGGTCCACATTAATATCAACATTTCGGTGCAAGTACATAAATAACTCTACCTAATTCCGACCTCTGCTCATCACTAATGTTGACATATCAACCAAACATCGTTCCTTTACACGTAACATAATAAACAACTTAAACTTACGATTAAAATAAATTAAAATTATTTAAAAGTAAGATATTATGAGAAACACAAAACGATGTCATATTTATTAATTTTCATTTATAGTTGAGCGAAGCGATGTCTGGCTCATGAGTCAAACTCGTCAACGGGTGCTGCCATTGGGGGTGGAGTCAGCACTGGACTATAATAATAATTTCGTCCATTTTCTTTTATTAGTATATTTATTTATCAATGAGTATGTAGGATTTCTGATATTGTAATGGAAAGTTTCTTCATAATATAATTAAGTCACATTCTAATAAGACTTGTCTGTGTGACATAAAACACGAAGAAAAAAGCAGCTCTTGCTAAGTTTCTTGCCGGTTCTTCTCAGTACAAGATCTCCCGCCTTAGTTTTGCGAACCGTTGGCAAAGTTTTCGACTTTCACAAGTGCTATGTAACAGCCTAGACTGAATTGATCTTGATATTTATATCTTTTATATTATTGCATATAGAAAAAACAAGCTGAATTCTACGCTCCACTTTTTGTTCTTAATTCCAAACCTGAATTCGGATGAATCGAGTCAATTGAAGTTACGATCAACCAATAAGTTGGTTCACCACTAATGTTGATATATAAACCAAACATAGTTCCTTTACCCGTTACATAATTATTAAAATTTAAATTACGATTCAAATGAATTAATATTAATTTGAAAGTTACATAATATAAGAAACACGAAACGATGTCATATTTATTAATATACTTTTATTACGTAAAAAACAAAATTTGAATGAATATCCTAGACAATATCCAAACATCGCTAGTGACATCTAGTATGATTTCAAAAATATATTTTTATTTATTAAATACTTCCTCATTTGGCCATGCTGGCGCGTGGCTTAGGTCAGAAACTAAACTCAGTTATTTTATTGAAAATACTTTGATTATTAATTATAGACATTGTAAAATCACATTTACAATCCGTAAATGTGATATTTCAGCAGATACGTTTTTATTCCAATGGTTATCATTGCAGTTTTAATACACACTATGACATCGTAATATGTCATAATACACACTGTGACATCGAAAATTGGCGCACTTTGAAGTGAGGCCTTATGTCTTAGGCCATATTTATGACTCTTGCCGGACATCTTATTGTATTATTGATCGAAGATAGACTTTTTTTGTTTGGGCAAAAGATAGACTTGTAAAATATTCTTTGTTTTTTTTTACTTCTACTTCTCTCTTTCCGTATAGCAAAACTTTGATCAGAACTTTTAGTTGGGCATAGGGTATTTGACACTATTAAAAATAAGTTACTTATAGTGGTCATCCCGTTAAATAATCTAATAAAGCTTATTTCTTAGAATCTGCAGAAAAGACATAATAATTAGTGGCCGTCGCAACCAATAACAGGTTCTATTTAGCGGCATGTGACGTCACACGTTAACAGGAAGCTGTCACAACAAAACATTATTATTAGAGATACGCAAAATTTGTATTTATAAATACAATTTGTAACTCATTTTTATAAACAAAACCAGGCCGCAAACTAGACGCCCATGGTCGTGGTGGTGGCGACCGCGATGTAACGAGCGAGTCGCACTTGATAGAAATGCTTATGTTTATCAGCCGACGGTCGCCACTGCCACCGCGTACTCAGGCATCCAGTTTGCGGCCTAAGGGCGCTTGTGCACTACACTGAATTTTCAGGACCGGCGGTCCGATTTTTTTCGGTCCAGAGTGACATGAAAAACCCGGATGAGTGGCTTGTGCACTTGTCTGTTTTTTTCCTGATCGGAGCGACGCAGTTTAGGGCAGCTCTCTTTGAAGCTACACGTCACTTACGTACGATAAGATTTTTAAAACGTCGGTAACTGCTTGCTTTGTAACTCTACGTGCGAAGACGTAGTAGACAGAACAAATATTGAGTTCATCCCCTTTTTAATGAAAGGTACCTAAATAATGACCTGATAGGATCATTTTACATGAAACATAATAAATTGAGGCAAGACGAAAGCAATTTTTTTACTATTTTTGGATGACTACTATCAGATGTAAAAAATACTAATTAAATAAACAGAATTATTCACATACAATAGCTAAATATA